CGGGATTAGGGGGGACAGCGGGATCGGGGGACAGCGGGATCACGGGGACGCCGGGATCGGGGGGACAGCGGGATTGGGGGAACGTCGGGATCAGGGAAACACCGGGATCGGAGGAACACCGGGATCGGGGGGAGCCCGGGATCGATGGGGTGCCGGTCCCGAGCGCTCCCGGCTCTCCCCGCAGAGGATGCGGAGCACACCCGCCTCTCCCTGGAGCTCCGCGACTCCTTCGCCTTCCTGGACGGCCCCGAGACGTGGCTGGAGGGCGGCGGCGACGCGGAGGCGGCGGCGCGGAGCCCCGGGACCGGGGATGGGACCCCCGGGACCGGGGATGAGACCCTCGGGACCGAGGATGGGACCCCCGGCATGGAGGATGGGACCCCCAGGACCGAGGAATTGACCACCGGGATGGAGGATGGGACCACCAGGATCGAAGATGGGACCCCTGGGATGGAGGATGGGACCCTCGGGATGGAGGATGGGACCCTCGGGATCGGGGAAGGGTTCCTGGCCATGGAGGAGGGGATGGAGAGCGGCTTCATGAACGTGAGCACCCGGCGGCATTCCCGGGATTTGGGTGGGGGGAGGAGGGTTTGGGATGGGATGGGATCAATGGGATGGGATGGGATGGGATCAATAGAAATGGGTGGGATCAATGGGATGGGATGGGATGGGATCAATAGAAATGGGTGGGATCAATGGGATTGATGGGATAGGATCGATGGGATGGGGTGGGATCAATGGGATAAATGGGATGGGATGGGATGGGATCAGTGGGATCGATGGGGTGGGATCAATGGGATGGGGTGGGATCACTGGGATCAATGGGATTGATGGGATGGGATCAATGGGATCAGTGGGATTGATGGGATGGGATCAATAGGATGGGGTGGGATCAATGGGATCAATGGGATTGATGGGAAGGTATCAATGGGATCAATGGGACTGATGGGATGGGATCAATGGGATTGATGGGATGGGATCAATGGGATCAATAGGATGGGATCACTGGGATCAATGGGATCTGATGGGATGGGATCAATGGGATGGGGTGGGATCAATGGGATTGATGGGATGGGATCACTGGGATCAATGGGATTGATGGGATGGGATCACAGGGATCAATGGGATGGGATCACTGGGATCAATGGGATCTGATGGGACGGGATCCATGGGATGGGATGGACGGGGGGACACCCTGACACCCACCCGTGGGGTCCCGGCCACGCTGGGGGTCCCACCCGTGTCCCCCCCGCAGCCAGGTGAGCGCTGGGCGGAGCAGCCGGACAGTTACCTGTCCATCGAGGAGTGCACGGAGCAGGACATGTTCTTCCTGGCCCGCGGCGCCTCCGAGCCCGACTCCGACTCCGACGAGATCTTCCTGAGCGCCCACGACGAGCTCAGCCCGCTGGGGACCCCCGAGGGACCCCCGGGCGAGGGGACAGCCCTGGAGAGCCTGGAGAGCCTGGAGAACCTGGAGAGCCTGGAGAACCTGGAGAACCGAGAGATCCCGGAGATCCTGGAGATCCCAGAGGCCTCAGAGATCCCCGAGATCCCGAGAGTCCTGGAGATCCCAGAGATCCCCAAAGTCCTGGAGACCCCAGAGATCCCAAAAGTCCTGGAGATCCCAGAGACCCCAGAAATCCCAAAAGTCCTGAGGATCCCAGAGATCCCAAAAGTTCTGGAGATCCCAGAGATCCCAGAGACCCCAGAGATCCCCAAAGTCCTGAGGATCCCAGAGAT